AAAGTCTGAAATGAAGAACCATGTGGAATCTGAACATGTGCAGGTGAGAAACAAATCTCTCCTCGAAAATTGCTGACTTCTATGGGAATCAGTCTAACGAGGTCTCTTTATTGCAGGTTACCTGCAAGTGTAGGATGAAGATAGAAAAAAGTCTCTTGAAGGATCATGAGGTTGGTGGACTTTATGTTATCAGACACTTGGAAGACACTCTGCAGTATTTCCAAGTACTGATTCCAGAGCCTTTCTGTCAGCCAAGACCTGGATGCCAACCTGTGATTTATGCATCCTTTTTATTGAGCCGTGCTTTCTAAATTCACACCCTCTGAGAGAAGGTGGTTGGAAACTGCCCTAAAGTGGTGGAGCCTGCTCAAGGCTTCATATCAAAGGGGTATCTGGTGACTGGTGATTTTGTCCTTATTAGTGATTAAGATGAAAAATGGTACGCTATTTCCAAAGTACGTGATGCGATTAACTTGACTTTTTTCGTTCCTTTAACGTTACACGTTTCTGACTCTGCTGCAGTCATTATGTGAGTTTTAATAACTCATTATGTCCAAACAGACTTTATAAATAGCTTGTAAAATATACTAAAATAGGACACAGTGGGTTTTTCTGAGGTTTCTGAATCCAGTTGGCTGCTGTCACAGGCAGTTATAAATGCCAGTACTTTCCCTTCCTGTGGGCTCATTTCAAGACAGCTCTGGAAGTGTTGCCTAAGTCTGCTTATTGCTGAGGAAAAAGGGATTTTCTTTGAAGATATGTCCAGTTCAAAACCCTGGAAGTAGTTTATCCTGCACATTTGTGTGTAGCGCTTTTAGTTTTGTTTGTAAAACACGATGTATTGATGTATGTTTTGATGTATTGATGATGTATTATTGCAGCATCTGTAATTATAACATGTATTTCATCTATGTTTAACCCCTTTTGAAGGGCAGCTTACCTGTCATTCCCTGTAGGGTAAAGAACATAAGCAAGCAATTTTTGTTGAGTAGTAAATATGCTGTAGATCTGTTCCCTAACAGAACATGCTAACATGTTTATTAGCAGTACTGAATGAAATGTGATTATTACTGGATGTCAAGACCGTATCTGAAAGTTAACTTCAAAAAGCACTATGTGAATCTGCTATCCAAGTGTTACAGGTTTTAAAAAAACGTTGTGAGTATTTGGAGTGCTTCAGCTGGCATGTTTATGACTACACAGGTTATACAACGCGTTGTTCTTACATTTCTCACATAGTATCTTATTCCAGGCTATTGTTTAGTGTAGCTTTGGGTCTAGCTAAAGAAACAATAGATGGCTCAACTCTTAAGCAAACTGAGAACCTCCCTCCACCTTTGCCTCAGTCTTCCATATGTGAAGAATAATCCCTCTTTCTTTTTGTCAGGCGTCAGCATGCCCTCTGCGTCCTGCCCTCTGCCAGTACTGCGACATACAGCTCGCTTTCAACAAGCTCCAGGAGCATGAAATCTACTGCGGAGCTAGGACTGAGAGATGTGGTGGGTGCGGTCGTATCATCATGATGAAAGATCTAAAAGAGCATCCTCGAGTCTGTGGGCAAGAGGTGAAACAAGCAAGAGGAAGCAGAGCAGTGCCTCGGTTTGAGGATGAGGATGCAGATTTGCACGCCCTTCGGGACGTTAGAGACCGACTGAGATCAGGTAACTACGCTGGGCCTCTGTGGAGAGTGCCCAGGGTGCTAGAAAAGCAGATTTGTAGGAGACAAAGCACGTTAAGGACATTAGCAGAAGAGATGTTTCAGCAGTGCAAAGAAATCAAAAGTGAGGTAAGGCGTAGAGAAGAGCGGCTTCTAATTTGACATTTGGCAACTGATCCAAGTGTAAGGTTCCGTAATTGCTTTATGTGAAAATACTGAATAATGAAAGCTCCAGAGGCACTGTGAGTGGGACTACGTTACGGTGGAATAGGACTCCAAAGCTATACGCCAGCTGAATGGGGGACTGCTGAGGTACCTGGTGTGAAAGCCCAGTCCTCTGCCTGTTATTTTGCCTCAAAGTGTCTAGCTTAAAAACAAAATTGGAGTTGTTTGCTCACTGTAGATTCTGTCCCTTTTTGTTTAGCAGCTGCACTCCTTTTTACTTCAGTTAAGTAGAAGAGTAGGTAAGATCTGGATGTGGGTTCACATATGTAGTGCTGCGCATTTCTGCAGTAACATCCTCTTTGGACACAGCTGAGACAATTATCAATGCCTCTGCTCTTTCCTAAGCCTCCCATCTCCAACTCCACATGCAGGGCGTCATGTCACACTTAGTACATAGCCTTTCCATGAGCTCTTGGCTGAATCTGTGCTCTAATTTTTGCTGTGGGCTGCTCAGGATTTAACACTGCAGAATGCCAAATTACAGTCTTCACTGGAGAACACTGCCCAGCTTGTAGAAATAACTTCTGGGCTTAGTCAATAAAGCTGAGTAATCTGGAGAGCTGTAACTTGCAGGCCACTTGCACTGACTGCCAAAGGGTGTTCACAAGTAGTATTTTTATGCACATGAAAGCTTTGTTTTAAATTCTCATGCAATCAGTACAAATGAAATAGCAGAGAGATTTGAAACAGGCCAGCAGGGGTGAGGAGCACTTAGCCTGTCTTTAGGCATCATTCGTTGAGTCTAGGGCCCTGTTCTGGAACCCTGCTTTCCTTCTCAGATTGTAGTTTTCCTACCAGAAAACATTTCATGGTTTTCTTCTGTACATATAGAATTCCCACTGTTGTCAAATGGAATATCATTAAAAGGAATTTGGTTTCCCATTGATACATTGAAAAAACAAAGCTGAAGTGTTTCAGCCTTGTAAAAGGGACAAGACTACAGTGTGTTAATTGGACCTTGTTCACGGTGTAGGTCACAGAAAGCTCCTCAGCAGCTTTGTAAAGCTCCCAAAGAAGCTTAAGTTCAAGCTTTTGGAGTAAGAGGAACAGCTTTCTTCTTTTTCTCCTTTTTTGCTTGTTACAAACACAAATAGGATGACTGTTTTCCTTCTTCCTCCTGAATTTGATACAGGTGTCCTTCTAGGCTGTGAAATGCTGACCTCCATGATTGTCCTCATGTGCACGGGTGAAACCCTCATGGCTGAGCTAGTTTAATGCACAGAAGTGAACTGCTTGTTGCACATTTAACGTTCTCTCAATTTTATGATATTTATCTTTTGAAGAGGATGAACTGGAGCAGTTGGGGAGAAATGGAAACACTCATTCCTCACTTTATGACGAGTGGAACGCCGATTTAGACTACGTGTTGGCTCTGAGCCTGCAAAATGAGAACAATCCTCACAATAATACTGCAGCTGAAATTCACAGTGACTTCTGGGAAAACTACTACACCAAAGAGTCTGTGCCATCGGCCTGTCTTAATGAACCAGACAAGTCAAATATCTTCTCCTGTGACTCTTTAGTGTCTTTTAGCACATCAAACCACTTAAAAAGTAAGTATAAACTCTGTTGTGGTTGGGTTTTTTTTCCTTAAAGGTTGAGGGAAGGGAGAAAGAAAGAGAGGATTCTTGGATTGGGAATGTCAAAGATTATTTAGGTATTTTAAACTGTTAAAATGAGTCTCTTTGAGACTCCCTCTAAATCATTTTTAGATAATTACTACACAGGATTTAAAACTCTCCATGAGTACCATTTCTCCTTCCTCTCTTAAGTGTTTTCTTCTGCTCCCTCAAAACTTAGCAATATTAGTGTTTAAAATAGTTTCTTTCGTAGAGGTATTACTAAAGCAAGACAGCAAGGGAAGAAGAAATAAAAATTGTAGTGGATCTCTGACCTTGATGTGTGGTGAGAGCTTGATAACAACTGAGTAGGTGACAGCTTTCTTCTTGAAGTAAACAGGAAGGGAGGATCTGGGGGAGACCTGAAGTACCAGCTTATTTTGAAAGGAGAAATGGTACTAAAGGATTTATTGAACGCAGTAATGGGCTTTTTTACCAGACCATTCGATATACCTTTAACCCCAAAACATTGTTCCCACTCTGGGTGATGTGAATTTGCTTATGTGAAATTCAGCAGGTGGGACTAGAGCAACTGTTTCCGTAGCGTTTGCTCCGGTTGCTGGCCTGTGGCACGGAACAGGAGCCTGGTGCTTCCGAATTTTGGAGATGAGTCGATCCAGCTGCATCAGACTTCTCTCTGGTAGAGGATATAACCGTTACTTATTTTGCAGATGAGGAGATCATCATGTTGCCGTGTGAATTTTGTGAGGAGCTCTACCCTGCCGAAGACCTGATTCTTCACCAGGTTTAGTACTTTCACATATTTTATCTAGGGGGTTGCAGTAAAGACTTTTTTCTGCTCCCGTGACTGAACGAGGGTGCGGTCTTCACTCAGTGATACTCTGAGACCTGTAGCAATTTTGTCTTTGCAAAGCATGTTTTTTAAAGTCCATCAGTGCTCAACAGGAGAGCTAATTTTTCCGTGTTGCTTGCATAACAGACAGGTTGTAACCCAGCAAGTGCCTTTGCCTCGTTCAGTAAAAGAAGCTCTTCTCCAAATCCACGAGAATATGATGGTCTGCGTGCTCTTGGGTCCAAAAGCTGTAGGTCTCTCTCTGCATCCCAGCCCCAAGCTGTCCAGGCAGAAGGAGACATTATGATTCCATGTGAATTTTGTGGCATCCAGCTAGAAGAGGAGACCCTCTTTCATCATCAGGTACAAAAGAGAACTTGATCTGTTGTATCGTGTCCGGTTGTTTGAGATCTATGCCAAGCCCTGTGGCCTCTTGTTGTGGCACGTTTCAGGAATCCAAGTAGCTGTCCCCTGTGTCAGCTCTTCCTAAACAAAGCCGCTCGGGTCCTGTCTAAAATGTTGCGGTATGCTGAGACTCTTCCTGAAAAGTAACAATTAGTTTTGAAAGCCCTTGTAACAAAAGCTAAACAAAAGGCCCTGAAATTGCACAATATAAATGTTTGACTTATACATAAAAGTTATGTTGAAACCAGGATGTATGAATCACAGCTGAGGTGGGAGAGGAACGCAAGTGTATGACCTCTGTGGGGCAGAGAGGACATAGGCAACTCGGACTACAAGTCTAGGAGAGGGAGAAATGAACGTCTCGGAGGGTAGATGTAAAGAGAGAGAGAAAGGGCGAGAGCTTGAGTGTGTCGGAAGCTCGGCCGAAGAGGGAAGTGGTGGGTTAACGAAGCGACGGGTGCTGCAGAGTCGCTGGCATCTTCCGACTCTGCTGTACGTTGCTGTCCGATACTTCTCATATTGAAAGAACAGCGGGCTTCGGTACTGCTGAAGCTGTTTACTGCTTTAAGAATGCTGCACAGATGCCACCTGGATCACTTGGTGCTTTGCTGCTTCTGTACAGCTCGAGAGCAGAACTGGGGAGCGGTGGGCACGTGGAAGAGACAGTCCTCTGGAATTCGCTGCTATTACAGACACGATATGAAAATGTTGAGCTTGCTCATTTTCTGTTTCACGGCTGAAGGAAGGGGGAAGTTAACAGTTCTTAGAGTCCTAACAAAGTAGTGAAGCTCTATTTTGTTTGTTTTTCTGGGCCTTTCCTCTCCTAGGTGATAGTAAAATCAATATTCATACAAATGAGATCTTGTAAAATTTCGTAGCTTATCCTTTGCTAAATAGTCGTGCTTGACACTGAGGAGAAGTCCCATCCAATTCCTATTACAGTCGGCTGTTGGAAGGCTTTTTTGTTTTTCCCTCACCCTGCCTAACTATTGAGGAAATGCAGAATGCAAAGACCGCTTGATCCACCAGCTTCTACTATTTTGAGTGAAGTTTGTGTATGGTAATCAGGACTTGTTAAGAATTAGTGAGGGGGGCTGAGTTGCAACATTATCATTGGTTTGCAAACCACAAAAAGGACCCCCTGCATTTAAAGTTCTGTGTTCCATGTAGTGTTCCTGGTGTCTAACTAAGGTAACAAAGGTTTTCCTTTCTAGTTCATATTTTTGTTTCGTGTCCTGTGGGTTTCTGTCTTCTTGTTCTGGTGTTCCTGGATGTAATTAGCCTGCAGAAAAACATGACTTTATAACCAGAATAGCCAACTGGGGCCCTTCTGTGGGCAGCGTGACTTGGAAATCACTTTTCACTTGATTTTTGTCCTTGGCTTTGGTTTTTATAATGGCACCGATACCAGGTTGATACCAGGAACTCGATCAGAATTGCAGTGACAGTACTTCAGGGCTGCTTTCCCCGTGCTCAGGCCTGGCTTTGCGTTTGGGGTCGTTTTCAGGCGTGAGAGGCAGAAGGCGGGTGGTTGTTGGCGGTCTGGCAGTCCGTCCCCGCTACAGAGTGGGTCCCGTCAGCAGGACTGGCTCACGCTGCTGGTTCCATTTTGGCTTGGGCCCTGTGGCGGGCGGTGATTGTTCCTGAGCTCTGTGTACCCGAAGACAGGTGTGTCGACAAGCCCATACCTGCCTCTTCCTAAACACAACTTCCTGCTACCCTGAACCTTTGTGAGGGGCGATGCTCTGCGGTGTTTTTACAGGAATAAGTTCGTACGAGCTGTCGTTTCAACACTCAAACGTATGTTTTGCTTTAGCACCATTGTGATCTGCGCCCAGCCAGTCCGGCAGCCAGCTTTCCACCTCCGCAGCTGCTCTCTCCTCAAGCCAACAGAGAGAGAAGAGAATCGCCAGAGCTGGCTCGGAGACGAATCAGGCATCAAGGTGTGGGCAAAACACAGCCTTCTGCGCATTCTTTTCCTTTACGTTTGCAGGAGCATTGTGCATGTTCCAAGCTGAATAGATGTTGTTACCCTGTTTTGTCTGCAAAATTTAAAAATCTTCGATCCTCTACCATTGATCTAGTTTTATGCAAGAAAGATTAAATCACTGAAACTCGATATCCTCAAAGATCTTGGTTGTGAAGCCCTATACTGCATTTACTAGCCCTATGCTGCGTTTACTAGCCCTGTTAAGCACCATGTTCTTGTCCTCGCAGGAGATGTTTCTCCTTGGTGCACAGAAGGCTTTGGGCAGCAGAGGCTCAGCTGTCCTGCAGGAGGGACCACGTCGCTGAGTAACACGGCAAAGGCCAGGAATGCACCCCTGTCCTCTTCAGGCAGAGGCAGCGACGCTCCCAGCGCGAGAGGGAAGCCCAGGAAGGTGGCTGGCAACGAGGGAAGGCCGAAGAACAGAGGTGCAAGTGAACCCACAGGTGGGACAGCGCCACGTGTGAGACCTACTCGGAACTTTCCTTCAGAAGCCTTCACATCCAGCTTCTCGAGAACTTCTACAACCCAGCCAAGGTAACGCTTTTCTCTTCCGTTTCCCGCAGCCGCGCTGAGGCTGCCCTAAAGCGTAAGGGATCGGCGGCACCGCAGGAGTTTTGCTGTGCTGAAAGTGGGGGTGCAGCCTTAGGCCTGGCGCATCCCGATTTTCAGATGGCAGCAGCCCAACGGCAGCGGTAGGGAGAAATCCATTCCAGTCCTCTGCCTCGTCTCCTTATGGCGCAAGTCTGGATTCCCTGTGGCTGAAAGGGCTTCACTCAATTTAATTTGGCTGCTGCTTACCTGAGTTTCAAATGGCAAACTCGGGCTTTTGTGTCAAAATAGAATGGACAAAATGGGTGCTGGGATAAAATGTGGGATAATGCCTTATTATAGCGCTCTCCTCTTAACATTTCTCTTGGCTCTTTGAATAGGATCTGGTTCTGCTACAAAAATAACTGGGTCAGGGTTCAGGAGAAGATTGAAGGGCCTCTTCCTTGGCCTTCCAGAGTCTCCCTGGTGTGAAGGACCCGGGTTGACTCAACAGTAAGAGCACAGAACCGGGTAGGTTCACTTCCTCTGAGTGTCCTCTTCTTTTTCTACAGCACCAGCAATGCGGGAGGAAGGAGCCTCGGGGTGTCGGATGGTCCCGTCGGCTTCAGGCGCAGGAGCACAAAGGTGAGGCGGTAGAGTGGGGCTTCGTGCTGGGATCGGGTCTGGACCAGACACCTCCATCTCGGAGGACAGTGCCTGGCTGTTACCCCTTGGGTTTGTGATGGTTTTGCCAGGACGATGAGCTTGTTTTACAGTCCTTCCCACTTCAGTGAGGTTTATATCGATTGCTTTTTATCGAGTACTCTTTGAAAACAGCATTTTTACTTTTTTTTTTTTCTTCCCCTCCCCTTTAGGCAAAAGCCCAGAGCCCAATGTCTGATTATCCGGAGAAGTGATCCACCATTTAGAAAAAAATGTGTTGAGCACTCTACGCACTATTACTGTGCACTCCTGTACTTATTTATCTGAGCGCAAGTAAATTCCTGTATCGCCATGTCGCTGAAAACTTTCTATGAATTTAAATTTTTATAGGCAGTGATTATTATATATCTATATATACGTATTTTTAGTTTGTGAGAGTATACTACAGGTTTTTACCTCTGTCATCTCTACTGGCACCTTCCCAAGACAGCAACTACACGTCTGCCCTGGGCACCACCTGGGTTCTCTTTCCGGTTGGTTTCTGACACCCTCCCTGGAGCGTGCCCAGCTCAGCCGCTTCCTGAAGGGCACCGGTGGGGCTGTGGCGCTGCCGCCTGCGCCTCCGGGGTCTGCGCCTGGAGCCGCACGTCACCGGGTGTTCCTGGACGCACCCAGGGGGATTATCATTGTCAGTGGATAAGCTCTGAGCCCGCGGATGGCTTGTTAAGTGCTTTTTAATGCTGTATTAGTCCATGCTTTTTAAATTCCTTGTAATAAATTTTATCTAACTGTGTCCCAAACCATTGTGTGGTAAAAAACCTTTTAGGTGAAGTGATGTGGGATCCCAAACGCTCTCTGATGGTAAGTTCACCACCCCCCACCTCGCGCTGGTCATTCAGCTTCACAGGCAGCGGCTCTGTTAATTTGTGTTCACCGTTATTATCTGCATTAGGTCTTTGTTAATTTGCTTTATGAGAGCTGTTGGCATCCCTTGTGCTTTGGGAATGGGTAACGCAAAAGCTGGAGCCGGCAGGTCTTAGGAAATGAGCATGGCCATCAGCCACTTAGTTAATTAATTAATCAGGTAGAGCAGAGGGCATTAGCCGGGATAACGAGCCAGGCATGCTCCTGGGGCAGGGCTGCTGCTGGTGGCTGAAGGGATCCCGCCTTTTAAAATACAGACATTTTACAGACACTTCCACCACCTGTAAGTATTTATTTATACAAGAAAAGCAGAATAAAGGTATTTAAAAGCAGGTGGCAACCAACCTCAGGGTGGCATTTCTAGGGAAAAGGGCGAGGGCAAGATAAGGGCTCCTGGGGCCGGTGAAGGTGAGCACGGCGCCGTGTTTGGAATCAGTGTGGGAAATCACTGCCCACCCCGCTGAGGGGGCTCAGCTGCGTTAGTCCTCGGGCAGGAGAAATAAGGCCCTTTCTCCAGTTCCAATGGTTGTGTCGTCCTTCCCTTTTGTACAAAATACTTACACTAATTTAGATTTACTTGGAACAGAAATGTATCGACCTCTAAAACGGGGACTGAAAAGCAGCTAACCTGCAGCTTCGCTTCCAGCGGTTCCAATCCTCTGCCTCAACGCAGCTTCTGCTGTGGAGGAATTTTTTTAAAATTCTTTCCAGCCCCAAATAAGGACACAGTACAGCTACAGGGATGGTGAGAATCTCCTTTATGCGAGCGTACACGGTATGGCCAAGAGCACTTCACAGGTTAATGCTGTGTACGGTACCAAGATGGACACACACCACGCTAGAACGAACACCCAGCTCCAGAGTTTTTCCATTGTTTAGTATAATTTTACATTCTGAATGAATATATATTTTAAAAAAAAAAAAAAAAAATCACAAACCGGTCTTTGCTTTGACACCTAAGCCTATTACAGACAATGTCAAGTTCATTTAAAGCACAAGGAAGTAATGATGATTAGAAAAGCTTTAATTAAAAGGCCATTTGAGCTACAGTCGACCCACTGCAGCGCTTCCTTCCTCATAACGTGGGGAAAAAAAAAGCCCCCCCCCCCCCCAACCACTCATTCTCTTGCAGGGCTCATACCGTTCTGCAGAAGAAAACCAAAGTCAGTGAAGGTTATTTATTGGTGTGACATTTTTCCTGTATAAGACGCTTCATTTACACAGCAAGGTGTAAACAGCATTGACTAAAAGTTTGTTATTTGTAATCATAAATAATTAATTGTAATAAATATGTATCAAGTAACTTTACAGCACGCTTGTCAGGGCCAGGACGCAGCCGTGTTCCGCTCAGATGTGCTCTCTGGAAGGAGAAGACAGCCATTAGCAGCAGTTTCTTACTCACAGCTGTAGCCAGCGCCACGGAACGCACTGGGACGCCGAGGTCTGGAACACCACGAGCGAGGTACGGCACGGCACAGCGCTGCGCCGCGAGCACGCCCCGAGCGCTACGGGCTGGAAACGGGCGATGTCAACCCACTGCAAACCCGCGATCCAATCGCCGGGCAGAACCCCCAAACGTGTCGTTGTCAGCACCAACTGTTCTGCCACGAAATTCAGCTGACGTTCTTCCCCTTTCCTTGCGGCGCCTGTTGGGGACCGCAGGTTCCCGCTGGGAAGCGGCTCCGAGCTGTGCTGCTGCTTAGTTTTCCCCTCGGTCTTTGTAAACTCCGGGTGTGTTTGCGCTTACTCCCAGTGATTTCTCAGCTACATAAATGCTTCTACCAGGAAATGGACAAGATTCAAGAGTAAATATTCATCCTACACGTATCTGTTCCTTTGAGAGGGCAATATGCAAGCGAAGGGTAACACAGCTTTCCTAACCACAGGATCTGCGGACTCCGTACGCCGACGACTACCTCTACAACTGCTGCACACACATTTTTCCATTCGCTCACCGAAGAACAAGAATATACACACTGGTTTAGGCTTTTCTCTCTTACTCACACTTTATCTTCCAAGTACCACACGCTCACCGTTCCCAATATTCACAATAATATACAATAAATACAGCTTTTTCAATTCCCATTACCACTGAGACGAGCCAAATTAGCGTACGGCGTCTTCTAAAGAGACACGTAAGACCAACCTTGAAGTACAGTGACACACACACACCCCCCGTCATCGGAGACCTTTCGCGTGGCTGACGTGCGCTAAGCACATCGGAAGGAAAATAACGAATGTGGAGCTCAGTACTGGCACTTCACTTACATATAGTACCGAGCCGAGGAGCACAGCGGGATCGCGGTATGTTTTCGGCTCTTTAGCAAACGGGTAATTCCCACTTTGCCGTACTTCTGAACGCGTCCCCGGTGCAGGGCAACCGCTTCGATACGAGTAAAGGAAGACACACGCGGTGACGTGTCATTTGGAAGCCACCCCTGAACGTATTTCACAACATAGAAAAGTGAAACCGAGAGGATTGTTCTCTCTCCGTAGTCTGCTGTTATCTTCCCATGGAAAACAGCAGCTTTATCGTGTAACTTCATGCCTCCCCACCTCAGCCTCCTTTCGCGTGTCACACTTTCCGGATAATTTGCTCTTAGATCCCAGATCATTTTTGAGTACAAAAAATGAGTTACGGGTGTTTAAGCACACGCTGAGTATTCTGAAAGCTTGTTCGGAAATAGGATCAAGTGACAGATTATAAGCTTGAACTGTGGTATCTTACACCATACGGACAGAAGCCATTTTGTTTCTGCTACTTATTTAATTACAATAAATTATTTCGTTACTAAGCAAAGCAGACATTCAAGAACATCTAGGGCGAGAACCCAACTGAATCACGGCCCTTTCACTGTTCTTTCAATTATAAGTCTCGCTGATCGAAAGTGTCTAGCTGAAACCCCAAATTAACTGTGGCGGTTCCCCGTGTGCTTGCTTGTCGTTTAAAAAGTTACAAGAAAATGGTGGAAACTGAACCATGCAGTTTGGCAGCGTATTTTCTGCTCTACAACTCAAGCAAGTGCTCGAAATCCTGCAGGATCTCTGCCCGCGCTGCAAGAGGCACTGTGCTCTGTCCCTGCAGGTGCCCCGCGGCCATTCCCTCCCCACACCCGATTCATTCCATTTTTGTACTCAAAAATGTTTCAGGGGAGAGCGATCTACGAGCCTCCGCCTCCGAGTGCTCCCGAACTCTCTTTTGTTGTGTTCGCATGGGTAATACCGTTCTAAATTACAAAATTAGAAATGTACATGTTTAAAGGTTTTTCAAAATTAAATTATACACAAACCGGTCTTTACTAAACTATCCTACAAATATTCCACAAACAAGGCAGCAAAATAACCAGTCCACCACAAAGTCTACAAATACAAAATGTAAGTCTTCCAGTAATTATTGTAACGGGAACAAAAGTTCAGAAAATAAATTAACCTCCAGCTCGTCACACAGTGTTACAGGAGGTATTTTTATGTGAATCGAAGGGTTTCCATCGTTAGCAGAGTCGCAAAACAATCCAGTCACCTCTCGGCAGCCCCTCTCCCCCCTCAGCCGCTGAGCGGATCCTCCCGGTAGTGGATGGCGTATCGGAGCTTTTCCAGCATTATGTCCAGCGAGGAATACTGAGGAAGTTTGATCATAAACATGCACGTTTCCACACGGATGTACCGAGAGTCCGGAGAACCTGCGGTGGAAGAAGCGCCAGAGGGGGTTTGGACACGGCCTCCGCTTTTCACCTTTTTCTCCAAAAGCACCTTCCCCCCCTCCGCCCCACCAAGGAGCATCAAAAGAAAACGATTCAAAAGATCCCTGCCCACGTCTCCCGAACCTTAAGCACTGCTGGGCTGCGCAGCCCGTCCCCAGGACAGTATTTTGCTGATAGTTCAATCCTTTTAAAAGCATAGGAGACAAATATTCTACAAAGTCACTTATTGTCTCTGGAGGGCAGTGGTTTAAGTAGTTAAAGTTTATTTTATTTTCACCCTCGTTTAAAACCAGGTCTGCTCTCTTCTTATTTACAGCCGTAACTACCTGCTTCTCCTTTGTCATTCTGTCTGCATTAAATACATGTTTAAATTAAAAAAAAAAAAAGGGGGGAGTGCAAGCTCAAAGCACGACGGGAGCAGAATGGATTTTCTTTGCCTTAGCAGAGGGCGACCGTACCTGCGGCTCCGTCGGGGGGGGCTATTTTCATGGGGTACGGCGGGACGTGGGCGGTGTCAGGGCCTCCGTCTTTGCAGGGACAGGTGAAGGGGATTCGTTCCTGGTTACAGGCGAACTTGATGAACTTACAGAGCTCCTCCTGAGTGAACATCTCCAACGCGCTCCAGAAAA